AAGCCTCGGCATGTTCTACACCATCTATCATTGACTTAACCTCTCCTACGACGAGCGAGGACGCTAAAGAACTACCATCTATACCAGAGCTTGTAAAAAGATGGTCGGCAATGAAGAAGAATCAAGAGGACCAATTGGCTAAGGAGAAAGACCTGGTGACTAGGGATGTTATCCGGAGCCCGACCGAGCAACCCGACTCACTATCACAGTCCTATTTGTTGCCTATGACTATTGACCATGACACGGACTCGCCAGAGGCTAGGCTGTTGGGGATACGAGAAGGATTTGGCTCCCAGGCAAAGCCCCCTTTAGACGAGAAGCAGCCTCTATTAGACCTTGAGAGTGAGAGGCTGCGTGACACAGGACTTGAGTCCACGCCGGCGCGCAGCACCCGCACTCGGAAGCGGAAAGCTAGCGAAGTGTCGATCGGGTCTGTGGACTTGGACAGTCATCGTCGGGCAACCACCCGCCAAAGGACCAGTGTCCAGCCACCAGTTATTCCTACTAGTACAGTATCCGACATTAAGGCACAAAGAAACAGGGGAATTTCAGCACGAAGAGACCCAGTTTCCTCGAAGTATAATACCCGGCGCCCTCTACAAGATCCCCAGACTACTAGTAATCTTCCTATTCTCTAGGTTCATGAGTTTCATTTGCAGCTGCTTCTTGTATCCGATTTCTAGCAGAAGCATGAAAGGCCTCACGGTACAGCTACCAATTGCCTTGGTCCCGCAGGTGATTCCCCTTGTCAATTGAGAAATCAAAGTGCATCCAACCATACCTTGATAAGGTCTCATATTATCATAGAAAGCCACTCATTTATTAACTACAGGTACTAAAGGTTTAGATAGTGGATGTTATTTCAATCGTTATTGATATAATTTAGGGCGGTAATAATTACAACCAATCAAAGCTCGTATCGCTATAGATTTAGTGGAGCAGACCCGAGTTTTGGCGGGTTGGCGGATGTAGGTTATTTGGCCCGCCCTCCTTTCCCCAAGGAGTTTCGCCATATATTGAGATGTAAGATCAAAGGAACATTGCTGCGAAACTAAGGAGTGGGGTTGTTATCGCAATGACAAGTGACTTCAATGGAAGTTAATGCGTTGTAAGGTGATACCATGATCCAGGAATACACGTGAGTTATGTATATGTTGCAGTCAATTGAATTATAATAGGTGTAATAGAAGGTAATGATATAAGTATTCTGGCATATTGTTCAGTTTGTTAACGAATGTGAAAAGCAGGTACAAAAATCAGGGTTGTCTAGAATGGGGGGGCCGGGTATTTATAAAATTTCCGCATGAGGGCAGAATCAGCCAGTGGATCCATTATCTGTAGTGGGGTACTCAAGTGTACTGTCACAGCTAGCAGCTGGCTGACAGCTGCGGGCTTCCAATCCGAATTTGGCCAAATCTGATTGATTAAAAGAAGCTGATTGGCTGGGTAGTCTTTAACTACATGTATGCTGGGGAAGAGACCTTGGTAGGTACTGTGTACGTAACCTTGAGGTCGTTATTTCTTTCATCTTCTCTTTTTACCTCCTCGAGGCAGCAATACAACATATGGAGTAGCCAAATTTACTCCGGTCAAGAGTTAGGGTTTAACAGTGGTGAAAATCCATGAGTGTGCGGTTTGATATTTGTATTTTACTTCCTAGGTGTGCTTAGGTGACTCACGAATTTAACCCCTTTTCACCTGTAATATCTACGATTCCTATGTGCCTATAACGTTCCTCATCTTACAATGTAATCAATGCACGAAGACAAATGCGAAATAACGGCGAGAACACGATGCGGATGGTCTTTTACTAAGACGAAGCATACGTAGTACGTGATTCTGTCCAGTGGATGTGTCGTAAGAATCATCGAGACGTTATAATAGAGTACCTAATAGGTAGTATTACAAAGATCAAGTAATTTATGTGATCTCATCCATTGCTAAGAAGCCCGGGCCTAGGTGTGACTGCTTTAATTACCAGGTAAATATTGATAGGTATCCTATCCATGGGATCTGGCTACATTGTCGTCAGGGGTGGCCACGGCGTCAAGCCGCCGCCCAGCGTGTTCGAGGAGCCGGATGCCAATTCGCTACTGAATAATTTTGGCTTCTAAAAGAGAAGAAAAAAGGTTTTTGGTGTAGGAATGGCGGCAGAGCTGAATGTAGAAGGGCGTCGCGAGAAGTGTTGCACGTGTCCAGGGACCGGCTTTGCATTAGCGTTGGTGAGCTGGGTTTCATCCACCCGTGTATCTAATTACTCTAGGCCAGGCCGGACGCGAAAACGGTGTAGGGACGGTGTTCTGAGAATGCGTCTAATACGTATTGTGGTTTTAGCCACGTCATTTCTAGAGTTGGGCTATACGTAGATGAGATCTCGGGATTTGATATTCTAGTAGAGATAATAGTGTATAAAAGCTTGACTACCGGCATCCGATATACGCTGCTGGGATTTAAGGGAGGAAAAGGGGGTGTATTAGGAGCTAATGTAGGCAGTATTACTCAGCAACAAAATTCGAATCGTCTGATTGGTCGCCTTTCCAACGTCAATATGTAACCTACAGCACAGCAATGGTAGTAATCCACGCAGATTGATGATAAAAGTCCAGACCGTGGTTCGAGATGGATCTGAGACTTGGATGATGGCCTCTCGGACCCAATTCATGCTGGTTGGCCCCGAGGGGCATCGGGTGTTAGCAAGGCGGGCTTGAGCTGCGACCTATTAGGAGCGGGAGTGACGTTGTGGATTCATTAAGCAACACGGAGCTCCGGAGCGCGAAACGGATTATTCACGACTGCGCTGTTGTCTGCTCCTCTCGGGGTTCTTATTCATACCAGGGCGGGAAGAAAGATGCGGATTTCGTAGCGTCAGCAATGGTAGTAGCTCCGTGCTGCCTCGGAAAGATTTCATACTACTTATCTAGGTAATGAAGGAGATTGTATATCTCCCCCTGCTTCCCTCTCGACTTTGTCTCATCCCTTTACTCTCCATCGCCAAACTCTGAAGCTCTAATTCCTCCAACTCCACACTCGTGACGATCAACTTTAACGTAACCCAAAATGTCCACCCAAACCCCTTTCCCAGACCTCCCCTCAATCAACATAACCTTCCCCCGCTCCCCCATCACCGCCGCCGCCTTCGAATACACCCAAAAGCACACCAGCGCCGCGACCTACAACCACTGCGCGCGCGCGGCGTACTGGGCGGTCATCCTAGCCAAAAAGCTGCCCAACCTAGCGCCGTTCAACCTAGAGACCGTCGTGCTGGCGGACGTGCTGCACGACATGGGCTGGGCCACGAGCAAGGAGCTGCTGTCGAAGGACAAGCGGTTCGAGGTCGACGGCGCGAACCTGGCGCTGGCGTTCGTGAACGCGTACGTGGCAGATGGCCGCGAGGGCGCAGGGGAGTGGGAGGGGGGGGGCACAGGGCCACCACCGTCTGGGACGCCGTCGCGCTGCACTGCACCGCGTCCATTGCGGCGCACCACCCTTCCCCCGAGGTCGCGCTCGCACACCTTGGTATCATGGCCGACTTCCTCGGGCCTAGGTTCCCCCCTGGCGACGGGGCTGTGATCACGGAGAAGGAGTACCGCCAGGTGGTGGCGCACTTCCCGCTCGCTGGGTTCGGCAGGGAGGCCGTCAAGGACATCATGTGCGGGCTCTGCAGGGAGAAGCCCGCGGCTACGTACGATAACTTCGTGAGCGAGTTCGGGGTCAAGTACGGTGTTGATGGGAAGGGCGGCGGGAGGGAGGAGTACAGGCGCGCGCTTGAGGAGCAGAATATCTCGATGCAGTTGTTACGGGGCTTGGAGTATCTTGAGGGATTGGTGAAGGACGGGGCGTAGGGTCGAGCTGAATGTTACTGAGGCTCTTCAAAAGGGGGGGGGAGCTTGGTGGTGGGCTGGGTGGTGGGCTGGGTACCTAGGTACCTAGTCCCAGTTGCCCAATGCTCCAGCCTCCAAGCCGGTTGCCATATGTACCAGAATACCAAGCGACTCTTCCAGCATTAGACTGAGTACCAACCAGACACATCCCCCCTGGTCTAGCGGTGAAGTGCTCAGGTTGACGGTGTTAGGTAAAATACCCCGCGAAGCGAGCGGTGTTTTCCGTACGACATGGGTGAGAACTGAGGAAGGAGTTATCAGGAAACTCCAGAGGTTCGATCCTGGGTCGGAGCCTTTTTGTCAATTCTTTTTTTTTTCAATAAATTTTTTTCTTTTTTTCTTTTTTTCAATCACCGCCAATTGAATAACGGATTGATCATATCATGATGGTTTTTTATATTCTACTCATACAGGGCCCTACCTAGTAAAACTTCACGATATGTCCAATGCTTAGTTTCTTCGCCATAACCTAGGGCTAGGATTAGGGGTTGAAGTTGGTGAAGTGTTGAATAGAAAGAGAAGCTGCAATAAGCAAATTACTATGCTAACTAGCATAGGTTTACTATTAACGTGGAATCACATCAATTGAGAGCCAAGTTAGAATCATTGATGTGATGTATGAGTTATGTGAAATATTTACCCCTTTCCCAGCTTGTGTTTAGATATATATGCGACAGCTGTGACCCGTCTTCGCTTTCCTGTCCTTTTAAATGAAAATCAGCATTCAAGAAAATTAGTATTTTGTATCTGTGTGTTCGAATAAACCCAGCATCGGACTGTTTTGCTACTATTGCTATATCCGGACGTGATTCCGATTTTCGCCCAAGCAGTATGAAAGGAGGGACGATGATGGTGTTAATAATTGCTAAATTCGCATATCGTGAACCTCCTCATTGAGTGCCTACGTAGATAGATGCATCACATGGTAGGAGCGGAGATTACACTGGAATAAGATGCCCGATTTCCTGCGGATGCAGACTTACGACTGTAAATAAAGGGGGGGGGGGGGGGTAACCACCGATGTCATCAACGCGTGACTCTTGCCTAAGAGATCACGACGAGCCCGGTACTGTGCAAGTAAAGTAGAGTTATAACGACAGGAAATAACATCTAGAACTATCCAAATTGGTGTAGTGGTTAACATCCAAGATTCTCAATTCTTTGAACCTCTTGGGCCCAGGGTTCGATTCCCTGATTTGGAATTCTTTTTCCCATGCACAAAATGGGAAATGGGTATGATATAAGTGAATCTTTTCATCACGCCCAGGTGATATTTGAATGGGGAAGTTACCGACATGAAAAGTGGCAGTAGCTACCTACCCAGGGTGGGTAGAAGTACCTAGGTGAATGCCGTCTTTTACTTAAGCCTTTATGATTGTTCAGTTTCACCTGCCTCAAATAACAAATGTTTTTTGTAGGTAGGTGACTCCTACCCAAGCATTTATATATAAACCAGGACATTCCCGTGTGATATGTGATAAGGTTGGTGATTCATTCAGCATCATCCACAAATAAAAAAAAAGAATCAACTACTTCGACCATTCTTATTTAATAATCTTGAATAAACCAAATATTACAAGATCGTTTCGCCAACTTTTACACAAAATCACTTATTTATCTTGTCTTGTTTCCACCATCTACATAAACATACTCTGCATATACTACAACCATGACAACCCAAGAAGACCAGGCAGTCGATGAGGCGAGCCATTCCTTACCCGAACCCGTCGAAGGTAAACCAAGGCCAATCTTCCTCTACGGTACCCTATGCGCCATGCCCCTCCTCGCGGTGGTCTTGACAGGAAGCTCGCTCAACACCGACGCCGTGGCCCCCCTCACGCAGCCGGCAAGGGTTCACGGCCATGCACGATTCTCGGTCAGAGACCGCGACTACCCGGCAGCTATCGCACACGAGCCGGAGTCGTCGATCGACGGTGTCCTATTCACGCCCGAGACAGTCGAGCAACGTGAAAGAGTGGAGGGTTACATCAGCGGGTCCTTCACTCGGTCACCCGTGATGGTCACGCTTCTCGATGGCAATGGAAATCCTCGCGACGAGACGGTCGATGCCGACATATCTCTATGGACCGGGGATCGGGATCAGGTGTTGGACAGTTCATGGGACCTGCCGACTTTTGTCTTGAATAACCTTTGGGCTTATATCGATATTTTCGAGGGGGAGTATCAAGATATGGGTTGTGGTAACTCTTGAATCAGAGCGGCTTGGTAGGTCTGATCCAGTAAACATCAGTCACATATGCATATCCGGTCTCATGGAGGGTATCTTGCTGAAAGAGATTGCGCTTATCACCCACTTCCCTAGCATTCGACCAACAGTCTCAGCTTATCGGTGGAGAAGAAGTCATTCGTATGCTGAATAGCCCAATACGAGGGTAAGCTAAAGAAATATCAAGGGGGGACGGCATCGGGTCAGCCACGTAGTGGCTTGGGTGGGATAGATAGGGGTCCTAATTCTGTGCTCAGAATAGGTGATTCGTTGCAATCTAATGAAATTCATTTCGCTTTCTTCGGCAATCTTCTCATTCTCCTCTGTAGTGCTTCTTAGCATAATATACAGTAGTAAATACACCGTCTATTTGCCTTGAATACGTCGTAAAAGGGGCCATTTTTGAAAACTCCAGATATCTCTGAACTAAGTGACTCCCGTGCGTCTTCTACGCCTTCAAATCCCGCACGTCGTATAAAGGGCCTTCTAACTTGCTACGCTGATTAGAAATGAGTGGCGGGCGTCTATTGTCGCTTGTGCGTCAAGCTGGCATATAATTGTATTAGCTGTTTAAGTCACATTAGCAGTTACCCGATTCTACACTGGGGGTAATGCCTATATTCTAGTTTACGAGCATTTATTAACATATCAACAGTATCCTAGCTGATTTGTAACTTATCACCCCGGCCATTAGCTTCCCAGTAGCTTTATATACCTCGTGAAGCACTATAAATAAATGCAATCTGAGAGGCATACCACGAGTTTTACTCACCAAATGAGCTCGTCACCATACATTGCTATAGTGAAGCCCCCTTTAGTCATTTTCTCCTAGCCAGGGAAAAGACAATGAGCTCTTAAACAACTTGACACTTACCTCAAACGATATGACACGACTTGTCAGACTCACATACCCAGGAAGTCGCCCATAAGCGGTTAATGACACATGTGCATCTTCTCCCAGCTGTCTTATTTGCGGTGTGAGGCAAGTGATTATGCAGGACGGAAAACTTGATGGGATCCAGGACCCGGCTTTCCCCAGTCATTGTCGGCTCGATCATGTTGGGTTTGGGGGTAGTTGATGCTTGCGCAGTGCCCTCGGACTTCGGTTGCAAGGTGATCACGCAGGCCATCATATCACTTACTTTAGCATTGTCGACCCGACTGTACCTTGAACTCCGTCCCTGCCATGAAGGTGTATTCCGTCTTCATCGGGCCATCAGAGAGAGGCGTCACATACGCAGCCCTATCCCATACGGCCGAGTCTGTCAGGGCATTCGCAACCAGCAGCACACCGCTCGAATAGTGCAGGGCGTCCTCGACGGTGTCTGTGAAGCTCCATGCCCTCTTGATTGTAATCGTTTCCCCCCGGGCGACGTACTCGCTCATCGCGTTGGTGAAAGAGATCACGAGATCCTCGGTGGGAGGGCCATTGTTGAGCCGGCACTCGAGAAACTCGATACCGAAGTGGTCGAGTCCCAACTGTTGAATTTCCACCTGTCCGCTATACAGCTGCGGGCAACGAAAAACCGAGGTACGGGGCAAGGACTGCAATGCCAGGGACAGCAGATGGTTCTCCACGTGGCTAAAGAAGTGAAGATCTTCGGCGTTGTTGACGAGCCGCATCTTAACGCCATCTAGTGAAGCCGCCGACTTCATCATAAAGGCATTCATATATGCTGGGTCTCTCGGCGTGTAGTTTTCAAGGTTGCTAGACCAAATCTGGGAGGCGATGCTGTTTTGGTTGCTGGGGAATGGTGGCGGCACAATGCCCGTGTACTCGAATAACTTTAGGAGCACTAGGCGGTGAAGGATGCCGTCGTGAATCCCCATCCCAGCGTATATGTTGAGTCTCACCAAACGATCAGCTAAACCCCCGCGATGAAGCCGATGAGAATACTTGAGAACGGCGGTGATAGCTTGTTGAAACATAAGACTTTCACAGACTCTGCAATGACCGCGAAGGTGCCTTGATGGCATCAGAGGTTAATCACACATGTCCCATCAACCATTGTCTATGCCTCCCCGGGAGCAAACGAAGTCCACAACGCCCCCCCTTTCCATCTTGAACGATATAACATGCTCGTCAGTCGACTTAGCAAGCCGCCATGTAATTCCCCACGACCAGCCTGCATTTAACCTCAGCTGTCTAGATCTGATTCAACGACTGCTGTGATATGCCGTTGTATTACTATAGATGGCACGTTCAACAACCAGTAACACTGCAGGGTGCAGCGTAGAAAAGCCAACGACCATGGAGGCATCAGCTGAGTTCTGCAGTACCTAGCAGCAGATCCCGATCCGTCAAGACGAGTCGATTCTGTGCCTGGATTTCGGTGAAACGGCTATGTTTGGGTACCTAGGCGTGCAAGAAGAATTACAGGATGGGATTATGTCGATAAAACCGGCGAACAGGCCGCCATACCCCAGATCAATGCTTTGTACCTACCTAGTGCCTAAACAGTTACTGCGATATCCTCTCTCAGCTCCAGTTCTGCTGGCTGACCGGTGCCGAGACCGTGGAAGTGAGCATTCGAGTGACAAAGTATACGAATACAATGGCAACAGGTAGCCGATGAGTCAACTCATTGATGACATGAAGTCACAAACTGAAAGTATCAATCCAATGATTTCTTGTGTCACTCCTACCAGTCAAGCAACTACCGAACTAGACATGAGGTGCCCAGGGGAAACAGCTTGTATGGATACATCTCCCCACAGCAAGTTGGGTGTGCTGAATGAATGGCATATGATCTCACATGAGATTATGCTTCTTCCTGTAGGTTTCTTCTCCGCTTCCTGCGTTCGTTGGCTCACCCTCTCTTGACCTTTCCATCATCAGAACTCTAGGCGTCAGAATTCCCTGTGGCGAATGTGCAATAGCTTCTGAAAACTAGTATGACTCTTGTGCGGGTGATGGCAAGGCCTACAACAAACTAATTCGGGTCCTTGGGTTGAAACAAGGTATGGTAGCATCGTGTGACCCCAATAAGACTCAGCACATCTGGCAGTTTATTCTTATGTTGGACCCATTTGAGATATTGAATGGACATAAAGAGGAAAATATGACTGATTAAAATCCGACGTTGGTGTCGTTCATGCGAGCTCCAGCCCCATATGTGGCTTACGGGTGGCTGATATCTACACCATGGTTAAGGTTACTTTGATATCATTGGTCACCTGACATATGGATCCACAGTATTTACCGGTAGGTACCCCACGAACCCGCGGAAAGGTAAGCAGCCCCACATCCTCCAGCACCCAAAATAAAAAGTAACGTCAACTAAGGTAAGCGTACGAACGGTGCCCAGTCCACCTTTTCCTCCTAACCATGAGCATCACCAACGGCGCATCCGACACGATTCGGAGAGACGACTCGCCTCCGCTGACGGAGCTCGAAACGGCCGAGATCCTGCAAAGCATCCGCAACTCCACCACCTTACCTTCCACCGCGCTCCCCGCCGATCTCGCCCTCTCGCTCGACTTACACCGCCCGCAGCGGTTGCCGACCGATGACGACGAATTCCGCGACGACTTAGCTTCGTATTATTGGGATGCGTCGACGATGGCACCGCTCAATGCAGTCTCGGCGGTTAGTATAGCTACAATCTAAGCACCTACCTATTCCTAGACATTGCCGTGCTTCGCTTGTAAGGCAATGTGGCAAGTGATGCGGAAGAAAGAAGTCAAATGATGCAAAACATGCTCATGCGTTCAAAGGCCGCCCTCGCGCGTCTGCGCGCCTACAAGCCCCCGCCGTTCCCAACCTGGGACCGATTGCCGGTGAGCCGGCGTGCCGCCGTGCTGATCCTGCTGTTCGCGGATCGGAAGGGCGACCTAAGAGTCGTAATCACGATGCGGGCCGCAAGCTTGCGGAACTTTTCTGGTAGGGAAATAGCAAATTTTCTCAAGTAGAGAGACAAGATTCTGATTTGCTTTCTTGGCACATGTTAGGTCACGCAGCTTTCCCTGGTGGAA